GGCAGCTTTCTGCACCCATATTGACGAGGTTTCCTAACATAGATGAAACCAGTTCACCTCTTAAAGTCACAGGAGCATCTTTGCTGCCATATAACCTGACCAGTCATCTTTGATCACTCCCTATATTTTTAGAGGTTGTATGACTCACTTCTTCTCTCGTTTTTTCTCCTTAAGCCTTTCATTCCACGTTTTTTTTTTTATCCCCATGCATCTACCCACGGCCTTCACTCACATGTCTCTCGTCTTCTCTCTTTTTGACATCCTCCCCAACACAATTTCCTCTCCTATTCATACTTAATGTCTGTTTATCCCTCTCTCTCTCTCTCTCTCTTCCTGCGGTTGTCACTGTCTTTGTTCTCGTTCCAATCTGTGTTTCGTGTGAGAGAAACAGACGTTCCACTGTTTCTTCTTAACCTTTGGGAAATGCAGCATCTGATTTGGATAATTGAGACAGTAAATATCAACATACAAACGATGCAGCTTGATACCCAGGTTGTGCAGGCTTCAACATCTATGTGTGCGTGAATGTGCGCAGTAGGCCATTGAATTGAGATGCTAAAAATGTATGTTTTGCAAACGGGGATGTAGAACAACTGTGTCTATGCTTCCGTGTCTATCATTGGATATTTTTGCCAAGCTGGTCCTGAAGTACTGGTGACGCAAGTGTTTGCAAAGATATCATCTGTCAAACTCTGACCCCATCTCCGTCTGTACTCTCAGTATGTTTGCAGACTGTCTCCCCCTCGCTCTCTCCTTATGTCGTCTCTGCTCAAATCGGGAGGCAAATAGCTGATTCAGGCTCAGGCATACTGGAGTTAGCAGTGTAACGCATCCCCAGCAGCTACATTTATTAATGCGATCCTTGCCAACTTGACTATAAATGATACACTTAGCTTCGGTAGCTTGGTCTCGGATGTCTTTCAGCTTCCTTTCTCTCCTTAGCCCGACACAAACTCTTAATGGGCCTCGCCACCATATTTTATACATTAATGACCCACTTAGCCTCGCTTTCCTGTTCCAGACTTCGTTTACCTTTAACTGTTGCAATTTCTACCCCGGCTCACGCATGCAGGCATTCTTTCAGAACAGATTACTGTCACACAGATTGCATTAGCAATGTTGTCAATGTGTTTTGTAGATCATGCCTACTGCTTACTTACAGCTTGCTTTTATTTAGCTTCCCTGACACCTGTCATGCATAGTTAACCAGATTCCCCCGAAGGGCTTTTTTTTTAAGATGTTGTACAGAATGAGCAAAGACATGAAGGGATGGTAACTTTTAAAATGTTTTTTTTCAATTAGTAGCTCGTGTATCCACAATGAACGTAAATAGAATTCCCAAAAAGTCAACAACACAAATATGAAAAGATAATATGAAGAAAAACGTTGCTTATAGCATAATGCAAATATCGCTCTCAAGCTCTTTAGTACTCTGAGGGTTTATAAAGAGAGCGCCACCTCTGTTAAGAGCAACACACTCGTGACGTATGATGAACGTCAAAGCACCGGAACATTCCTTTCTAAAGACCACACACCGGGCTGAGTGCTGTAAATGCCGCTATCGGCATCGACTCTCAAAGAAGATCACATTCACCCTGCTGATCACCAAATCCCGGTACCCTTTAAACCGCTCGTAATTTGATAGCAAAAATGAAATCCTTTAATGTAAAACATATGAGCTGATTGACACTTCCAAGGCTCAATAGATTGTGAGCATGCAGCTGTGGCACATCTTCTGTCCTGTTGTACAACACTGTGCCATTAAGACTAAAGTCCTCACTATTACAGTACAGCTTTCTCCAGCCAGCACTAAATACTTGCATTTGCATAACAAGTGCAGCATCAGGTATTATTATGTTATCTTGAGTATAATTATGGCAACAGATTTGATGCTAGCCAGCTACAGTATAGAGCACTGAAAAGTCACAAATAAGTGCTCTCAGGTAGACGGACTGTTGCTCGAAGGAGACCACAGTCCCTGTGAGGTTGGGTTGGTCCAACCCTCGGCTGCAAGACCCCTGCTAATTACTCGTCGAGGGCCATCACCTAGCAACTAGCCTTCCTACTGTTGGCGAGCCTCAGATAAATGGAGGCAGTTGGCGGATGGAAGAAGGAAACGACACAGAAAACGTCTAATTATTATTTTTTTGTTCACCATACTGGCTCTTGTTTCCTAATCACAATGCTATGTGTTATCGCTAAGAGGCACTTAAGGCCTTTGACTAGCTGCCCTTGTGCAAATAATGAGACTGTCTGCTTTGAGGAGGCAATGCAACATTATTTCAGAGTACTAACAGGCCGTCGCTGACACTGCTGCTCACACGTTTTCTCCACCTCGGTAGCACGGGTGGTAAATATAGCTCGGTGTGGGAAGATCTGGCAAGAGACAGCTAGCTGCCTGCTAAGAGGAGAGCATAGCAGAACATACCTACTAGCTGTGGGCGACTGTCAGTTTTAAGGACGATGGCGAGCGCTGAAATATCTTATTTCAACACCAGTCAACAAATCAAGAATTAACAAGTGTACTATATTTGCTAAATAGTTTTTGCTAAAATAGTGTTTGACCATCACTTCCCATCACATGTTAGGTTGATATTAATAGTGATATTAATAGCTTATAGTGATGAAACTGCGAAGAATTATTATCTGCTCGATGTGTAAATACGCAACTGTTTGTTAGCAAGTTTCCCCAGTACAACTTTATAAGCTGATAATATGTCAGTGTTGTAGTTGGAGCTTGTTCTGCTGCAAACAAACAAAAAATCAGTTAGTGCTGCCTTAAAACGACAGTTAACATGAGCAAGAATCAGCCGCTGTGATCGCTCTGTGCAATTGATGTGATTCTGTAGATGTGAAGAGTGAAATTGCTGACTATTAGATTATATGTATGACCGTGCAATTGTGTGAATATATGCTCATATAACATCCCAATTTCCCAACTTTGCCTTGTGTTTCCGTGCAATGATTCGAAGGTATTCGCTAAACAGTAAACATTCTGGGCTGTGTACGTTCTGTGCCGGTTTACCCTCTGTCTTTGTGTGCGGCATGTTTGTTTTAGGTGCTGACGGAGCAGGGCTGTGTGTTCCAGGAGAGGCATGGCTGGGAGAGACCTGGCTGGTTCAACAAAGACGAGCCCGCTCCTGTGAGACTCTACACATATATACTGTACACAAGCATGTGCACGCTAATGATTTATTTACAACCACATATTGACAATAGGCACTTGGAAAGGCACAAACAATTGAGATGCAAATTCTTCCACAAGGCTCGGTGGATAGGGACTATTAGAAAAGACTTACTGCCAGTAATGGACGACACCGACACAGGGTCTGGCCCAATGTTTTGTCCTTCTCTGCACATGGCGACAATGATGATCAATAAGCCTCTAACTATTTGTTTGTCTTTGTTGTTGCAAAGCTTAAAGACTATGATTACTACGGGGCTTATGACATTAAGAAGAATGTGAACTACAAATACAACGAATTGCTGGGAAAAGAGTACACCTTTGACTTCCCTCCACATCATGACGTGGTAAGATACAAAGCGTAAACTTGTGTGTGTGTGAGATCATGTGTGTTATTTAGTAGAACAATGTCATTCAATCAAATTCAGCTTCCTGTTTTGTCAAAGCCGAGGTGCCAAAAAATAACTCGGGGTTGCCAGATGAGTGTGAACACTCTCTGAAGGCTCCCGTGAGGAAAAGGAACATGTGTCCTCATGGGAAATGACAATCGTGGACAACAGACAGTGATGATGGAACTGTTAGTGAGGTTTAGTGCGTACCAAACCAACTCTGCAGCTCAGAAGACGGATCTTAAGCAGAGAATTAATACCAACCTTGACGTCAAAATCTCTCTATTTGTTTTAATTTCCAGTGATGAATATATGCTTCAAGGATCTGGCTCCAAATATATTAGAAATGTCATGTTTGGGAACGAGAGGAAGATGCTTTTATCTCAAGAAGGCCTGGAGGGAATTTCTGAAAATTTGGCACAAGCGTCTACTTGGACTCAAGAATGCAGATTTTGGTGGTCAACGGTCTTTGTCGCCTCACAAAACACGTTTGGCCACAGCTCAAGTATTCATTTGATAATTGTGACAATTTGACACAAATGTCTAATAGGATGAGATGATGATGAATGATGAAGTGACAGCATTTTGTAAAGACGTGGATGTAAACTGCAACTTTAAGGCTGAAATTCTATTTTTTTCTTATTGCAGATTAAGAGTGAGTGCCTCTCGTGTAGACATGGTGTGGCAGTGTTTGACATGTCCTACTTTGGGAAGTTCTATCTCACTGGACCAGATGCCAAGAAGGCGGCTGATTGGCTGTTCACTGCTGATGTCAACAAGAAGCCAGGTCAGTGTGCTGCAGCGAGAACACACACACACTCTCTCTCACTCTCACACACACACACACACACGCATGCACAGACAGATGGGAGAGAAGATTGACAGAATGAAGAGAGCAGATACATGGATAGGGAGACTAAACAAGATGCCAACATGTGAGCAAAACGGTCCACTCTTCCACAAAATCTCAAATACCACTAATAGTAAATACCAGTTTATAGTCTCTTAAAGGTTTTTTCTGGAACATTTCAAAATCAACAAACTGACAGCTGCTTATAACAGGTGATTCCAAACTTTTGACTGTCAGTGTTTATCAAAATGATCAATAACATCATTATCCTATAATCCTCGTTACAAGTAAAATGGAAAAAAAGAATATGAATAGACATGAAAGTATAATTCCAAGTTCTTGCATAAACAACTTGCAATAAAACTGTCAGACTACTGTTCAATGCCCTACCATTAATGTTGATCAGTATCTTTTTAGATTTAAAAAGAAATGCAACACTAAATTGCTGGAATAACCCTTTGGAATGGTGTCATTATTCTATGGCCGTTACATTGTGCAATCAACATTTACATCATAAGGAAAAGTCAAAGCAAAAAACTATTTATCTATTGATATTTTAAGCTTAGTTTTAGTTCATTTTTTGCAGCCTATGTAATTTTTTGCTAACATCTACTTACACTTTATTATCCTCCACTGAGTGAGACAGCCAGATCTCACCCCACCTACGAAGCTAGTTTCTCAAGAGCTTTTTCGACATCTTAGATGACACACCGCGTGACCTCGCTTCCTCCGTCTATTTGTCCATCACTCTCTCCTTTGTGCGTCCTGTTCTCACTTACAGCACTTACAGCCATCACACTTGCCCCGAGAACATTTACTGTCTCAGCAGGCCGACCTATGCTTCGCTAACACATTTACACACGGTTTTCTTTAGTACCAGTGACAGAATGAAGCTGTCACCATCGTTCGTTCAAATGAGACATGACTGGGGGACAGACACATATTAGCATGTCACCGTAGCTGTCAGCTCCTTTAGCCAACGCATGACGGGAATGTTAGTATTTTTTTTTCGTCTCCTGTAATTAGATACACACTTCATTCACTTGGAAATTATTTTGATGATACTCTCATAATGACTGTTTTGTTCTCAGCTATGATGGGGTTCGTCTTTCGTTCGTAACCATTTTACAAAAAGACGAGGTTCACATGACTGAGGCAAAGATTTATAATTGTTGCCCCTTTAAAAGCAAGAAAGAAGAGCAAGAAGCACTTGAGTTGATTTTTAAAAAAGCACACTTTCCCACACGCACATACAGAGACGCACAAAAGCTTACAAACTGGATTGAAGATTGACCTCAAATTTGGGTTATTTTTTCATTGTGAGATTTCCACTTTAAATTGGCCTATAAAGTCTGCGACATGAATAAATAGTTTGTCTGTTTCAGGCTCCACTGTGTATACCTGCATGCTGAATAAGAAAGGAGGGACGGAGGCTGACCTGACGGTGAGCAGACTGGAGCCTGGAGCTGCCAACCTGCCGCTGGCACCACAGTCCAATGGTGAGAAAGAAAGAGTGTGTTGTTTTCACATCTGTCTGCTATACTGATCGATTGCTCTCTCTGTTATTCCATCACTGTTGTGTTTTTGTCATTTTAACTGTTGTATTTTATCCGTCTGTCTTTGTGTTGTATCTTATTTCTTTGTTTACAGTTCTTTTTATTGTCGTGTCTCCTAGTATCTATCAATACTTTATATCCGCTGTATTCACTATTATGTTCTTCTGTCAATCTATCTTCTCTTGTAATTTGAGGTAGCTATCAATTTATGTGCTGTTTTATTTGTCGTTCTCTCTACGTTTTCTGTCAGTATTTGTCTGATGTTTCATTGTCAGTGTTCCTCTCATACTCCCTGTAATCCCTGCTTATTGCCTTTGTTTCCCGCCCGTGCTCCAGGTGATGTGTACTACCTGGCCATTGGAGGCGGTGTGGCAGAACACAACTGGAACCACATCAGAACAACTCTTCAGGACCAAGGCTTCCACTGTCAGCTGACGGACCACTCTGAGGACATGGGGATGATCAGCATCCAGGGACCCAAGAGGTGGGGAAGGAAAGGGAGGAGGAAGGGAGGGAGGGAAGAGGGCTACGAATGAACCGAGACATTGTCGTGATTTAGAAATGACAAAAGGAGTGAGTGAGGGCAAAGAGCAGTGGAGAGGAGAGGGGGAAAAAAGAAAGAGGTAACTCAAATGAGGGGTTATGATATGCATCCTGGAGACAAGAGGTGGGGAAACTGAAAAGACGAGCTGTTGGATCGATAAGAGGAGAGCGGGTTAAGTGCCTATTTTCAAGACTTGGCCAAAGGCATAAGAGGTGAAAGAATACAGGGACGGAGGTTGATTGAAAACAGGAGACGGAAGCAGAAAGGTTAGAGGGTAATTCTGCAGTTTGCAGCCGTTGGCTGTTTCACGATGCTGTGAACCCTGCAAAGTAAATTAAAATCAATTTTTCATCGACGTAAGTGACAATGATAAAGATTACTCGGAGCAGCTGCGCTCTCGGTCTCAACAACAGTTTACACCTTGGGTTAGATCTAAGGCAGGACCTGTTATCTAACCTGAGTCATAGCGGGACCTGTTAAAAACATATGAAGAGCTACTGGGTTCAGTCGTGTATGGATCCTGAATGCCACATTATTCCAATTGAACCTAGTTTTTGGTTTGATAATTTTTTAGGAATGGCAATATCTGTCAGTCGGTCGTCCAACACTTGGGTTTGCCATGACATTTTGTACATATACTGTATATCCATGGTCCACGGAGGATACATTATTAACCACTTTGGTGATTGCTTAACTTCCCACTCAATTGTCCAATACTTTGGTTTATGACCTGTTAAAACTAATGACATTCCAATCAGTTCAGCTATACTTGGGTATTTTGTTAGAACATTTCTGTAATAACTGTAGAATTACAATAAGATTAATACAACATGATTATAGGACAACTAAAACCTCACAGTAGACTGGTGATAATATCTGAGGCCTCTCAACTGTAAACTCTGCTCTTCTCAGTCTGAATGCTCAACATGATATTAATAATAAAAGGTAATCCTATAGAAACGTAACTCTTCACCTGCAGCGTCTGCCGCGATGCCTCCCCCGTGTAAACACTGCAGTGATGATCTTCAAAGACTAAATGTCAAAAACAGAATTCATATTATGTCTCATGAAGTTATACAGTTTGCAGATCCCTGCATTGAGACGACCAGGGAGTAGTGATGGTGCTTTTCATCCATCAGAGCAACCATCCATTGATTTCTTCATCTCAGGATGAGAGATGGTGTATGGTACAGGGGAATGGTGCTGCACGTTCGTACATGGGATGTAGTCCAAGCTCGTCACTTTTCTTCTCGCTTCCTGCAGTTTTCCTTTTTGTTCTTCACTCTGACAGCAAGGCGGGCCACCTTTTACCTCTTCTCGTTCTCTGAACTCCTCATCTGTCTTTTCTTTCCCTTTTTTACCTCCCCTCCTCCCAACCTCGCCGCCCTGCATCTTTGTTCTTCCCTCTTACCAGCAGCAGGGTTAGGCCACTCTGTTCTGTGTGGGCTGTGTCGATTTCTTCTCCGTGAGGCTTTTACTCATCTTCTGTTCTCTTAAGTTTCTTTTCTCTCAATCCTCAGGTCTCTGTATATCTTTTCCAGCTCTTTCTCAAACTCTCCTCCCCAGACATCCCTCTCGGGTCAATTGCCTATTCTCAGTGTACTCTTCCCCTTTTTCAGATCCTGTCTCTCTCGCTTTTATTGCTTACGTCAAACCAGAAATCAGTGCGTCACTAGCAGCAGTAGAACTGTGTGTGTGTGTGTGTGTGTGTGTGTGTGTGTGTGTGTGTGTGTGTGTATATATATATATGTATGTGTATATATATATGTGTGTGTGTGTGTGTGTGTTTCATTATTGATACTCTCATGAATAAAAGGATGTTGATTATGGAGCTCATTGAGTTTTCCTGAGCATCCGAAGCGCACTCAGCTTGTGAGTGTTTGTATTTGCATCAGGGGATGTTTCCTTGTGTGCATGTCAGTAACATAAACAAGATTAGCATCTCTATTGCCTCCCTCTGCACAGTGCCTTAATCATTCTCGGATCTTTCATATTGTTTCTGCCACATATGAGGAATTGCGGGAAAAATCGACTTCAATGTTTGGGGTTTGTTTCCTTATGAAGCAAATTGATCTCTTTAAAGTTTGAGGAGATTGAAAATTACAGCATTTATGGAAATGCATTTGTCTCCCACAGATGTCTCACTCTAATTCTCCAGAGAGGGGGGGGGGGGGGGGGGGGGGGGGGGGTCTCTAGACTTGGATCTTTGTCGCTCACACAGCTTTGGCAGCGCTCTCCAAATGGTGAAACTGTGTGCTTGATCGTGTGCTTTGTAATTATGAACATTTATATTATGTAAAATTATGTGATATCCTGCAGCGCTGTGTATGTTTGCGTCCTCTGATCCACAGCTGAGAGGCACTGTTAGGTGGCACGACAGAGAAACAAATTGGTGGTTGCAAGACTCCCTTCCCCACCCCAACACACACACACACACACACACACACACATAAACAGAGCATTTCAGTGATTATATATAGCTAATTGGCCTTGCTCTTGGTCTTGGGAGTTCAGTGAACAAAGCGTTGCTTAAAGGAGTACAGAAATTGGAGGACAGCCTGAAGAGAACATTAGCCTGTGCGTCATACTAGCAGATGCATGCACATTGTGTATATGCAAGAAATGTGTTCTTCACATATGACTATACCCTCATACACACCTCTCTTCATCCAACTATGACCACATTGATTGGGACACCCACACAGATGCGCGAACATGTACAGCTCACACAAACGTAACCTGAACCCCTTCCCCAAATATCTTCAACGCTGGCTTCCTTTCACACTGTTGCAAAAATATCTCCCAGAAAAGGCCTCTACCTGCCCACTCACAAACACACAAGAAGCAAAGTAAGCTAAACTTAGTCCCTTCTTTCTGTTGACTCATTGTTATGTAATATTGATTTTAGTGTACGTGTGCGCCTGTCTGTTTGTGGGAGAAGGAGAGATGGTACGTTTCTACATCAAATATAACGAGTACTCCTGTAGTTTTGTAGTAGTGCTTTCTTAAAATATTTAAGATGTTGAGAAGGGAAAATCTGATCATTTGAGGATCAAAAAGCATAGAGTATCTTTCACCACACCAGGTGCACAGGTGCAAATGAAAAAATATTGACCGCCGCTGTTTGTGTGTTTTCTCTTTATGTGTGCAGCCGAGAGGTGCTGCAAGAGGTGTTGGACACAGACCTGAACAACGAAGCTTTCGCCTTCTCTACCCACAAAGTTGTCAATGCAGCAGGGCATCAGGTGAAAACACACACACACACACACACACACTCACACTCGGTGCCTCCACTCATTTCTATGATAATTGGTTGAGCTTCAAAATAACCCTGTCAGTGCTAGTTAAATATAAGAACTACTGTAAGTTTAATAATACTTGAGTGACACTGTTTTTTAATGATTTCAAAGGTTCAGTCAACAGAGAGTGTGTGTGTGTGTGTGTGTGTGTGTGTGTGTGTGTG